CAGGAAAAGCTGTCCGACAAGCCACATCAAGCGTTGCCGCTAGCCAGTTGAGAAAGACTTCTTGCATCGGTTGCATCGGTTGCATCGTCAGTAGCCAATCAGGTATGCCATGAGATCTGCCATGAACTGCCAACAATGGCCCACGATGCAACTCCAAGGGCCTCATTCGCTCCCCCCGCACAATCCCTCAGCAGAGCCCCGAATGTGCAAAGCCACCTTTCTCCATCGACCTAGCGAAATCGATAGTCTGTTGTTTCTCCTCCCGCAGCTCGTACGGTTGCTACGTTCACGACTTTGTGTATTGGCCTGTAAGACGGCAGAGAGGCGCTTGTCAGATTCCCCGTCTGCTTCTTTCTCTCGGCATCTCATCTTGTGCAAAGTACCAGACAGCAATGTGGAAACTCAAACCGCCCAATGACGGGGAGTCACTTGAGACGGGAGCATGCGTCTTGGAGCATTTCGAGATATGGAGCTTGGGCCTCTGTGCATATGCCCCCCTCCTTTCTACTTATGAGGTCCTGTCAGCAGAATCACGTCTTGGTCTGTCTCTGCCTGCTGCAACATGTCTGTTGACGAGCCGAGGATTAAGGGTATCACTGAAGTAGCTCTGCAATCGATGTTGAAACCACATCTTGCTTATTCAAAAGCTGGATTAGCTTCATGGTCTGACTTGCTTCAATAGAGGGCTGACCGAAAAAGCCAAAATGCTCAGGGCCTGAGCGCCATAATGGTAGAGATTCATCAGCAAACATAATCTCTCCGAACCAACCATCCAACCAATACTGAAAAGTATCGTGCTCTGATACATCCAATTCAGTCAGTCCTCCAAAAAATACCTCTTTCTTTCTCTCGAAATGCCTCAGCTGTAAGTGGTCTGTCACACCGACGGGTAAGTTTCAGCGTTCCGATTCGTCCGGTCACGAAAGGGTGCATCTCAAGTCAGCCCTGCCGTAGCCCAATTCCTCATGTCAGCTGGCGCTAGAATTCGGTCGATGATTTCCATTGTTCGATCAATGCAAACTCTATTATGCTACGTAGGTAGGCAGGCAGGCACTCCATTGAGGGAGAGACACAGGGGAGATATTCAATGTTCGAAGGTGGCTCATAATTGACCACATGATTGGCCTTCACCGAATGTGACCGATGTCACGGTCGACCAGAAAGGAAAGGAAATGTACGCTTCGGTATCCGTTCATGGTATCTTTTCGAGCACTACACTTTCTGGCTTGTCCTCGTCCTCTACGCTGTTCCCTCTCTTCCTATCCCTTACTCGCAGGCTACACTGTCACAAGGCGGGTGTTCCATTGCCCCCAAACCATCAGCCCGTGCAGAGCCTCCTCCATTTTTTGGTTGTCTTCAGCCTTAAACTTTTCACTTCAAAGCCCGATAATCTCACACGCTGGTCTGGTGGAGCCCCAGATTGCCTCGATACATTACTTTCATCTTCGTCTGACATGCGGCTCAAATAGAGATCCTCTCCAGCGAGTACGCCTTGACCTTCTGACTCAGCAGGTGTCCTCTCTCACGCGAGCTCCTCTCGAGCACCTCGCCGCCCGAAACAATCTTCTGGTTAGACACATGCTGCTTGGACACGAGTCCCAGAGGCAAGCGAGTCGAGAGTTCCACGTCGAGGGACACAGGCTTAGCGAGGGCCCCAGCGCGCGCGGAAGCAGCCGCGCTGGCTGATGATCCCGTCTTTGCTGTTCTGCCGTACTGAACCGCTTCGCCAACGTAGCCGTCCAGGAGGACTGTCTCGTGCAGGCCGGTCAGGGCCGCGCTGACTTCGTTGCTCAGGTTGGTAATGAATTCAAGCGCGTCCGCACGGCCGCCCACGGAGGATGCTCCATTTGTAAGCCATCCACTGAGGCCGATGGAATCAATGCATCGGGAAATCAGTTCTGCAATGAGAGAGATGGTGCCATCCGGCGGTGTCCCTGCGGCCTCGTCCTTATCCATGTCTGTCATGTCAAAGTACCGTGATGTCCAGGCGCCGCGGTAGAGTTGTGTTCGCAGAGTGTCGATGAGTGACAGAATTTCTGTTGGGCTGAGAGTCTCGCGGAGAGCGCGAACCGTCGCGATAGACGAGTAGCTTGCGAGCTTCTCGAATGCTGTTGTAAGAGCTCGTTCGCGGAGGTTGCGGTCGTCGTCCATGTGATTTACAGCCACTTCGGCCATTTCCAGCGTTTGTTCCGTCTTTTCAATCTCCATTGCCACGTCCTCTTCTTGCTCGGTTTCTGTCAGCGCAAGAACCTCTTGCGGCGGCTTCATGTTGAGGGTCTGCATGATGGCGCGAACCACCACCAACAAGTCCTTTTCGCCGAGCTTGGTTGCCGTGACATAGCTGAGGAGCAGCTCCATGGCAGGGTTCATGGCGACGAGATTCTGAACCAGCTTGTCAATGACCGAATCCTCGGGTGCCACCTCGACCAGCTCGCTCTTGAAGGCCGCGCACATGTTGGCATTCGTGAGGTGGCCAGCAGCAATGAGGTAGATCAAGACGTTGCTTGCGGGCAGATTGCATCGAAGGATGGCCGACTCGGGGCTCTGAATCTCCATCGAGAAGACTCTGCTGATGGCATAGAGCACCCACCTGCGGTCAACGGCAGGGTACGCTTCTGATTCAGCCAGCCATTTCCAGGTTGGCGTCTGGAGTTCATTGGAGACCACCTCCTGTTGCACTGCGACCCCAAATCGTTGCGCAAGCAGAGCTTCGAATGACTTCCAGTCTTGTGCCTGCATAAACCCATCCGCTCTCACGACATCAGCCAGAGACTCCTTAACATATTCATCAGACAGCGTTCCTGGAAGATAGTTTTCAAAGGTTTCGTTGCCAGCCTTGGGAAGGCTTGCTGGCACACGGTCAGACCTTGGCAGACCTCTGCCGATGGAATCGATGAGAAGGCCTTCCTTGCCGTGAGACTTGGGGCGTTCAATCTGTATGGAGACCAAAGTGTTGCCGACAACCGCTACTGCCATGTCGAGCTTTGACAGGAAAGTCACGAGTGTTGGCTTCTGGTGCTCAGTGGCTTCGGGGAACTCGACTGCCGTCGAAGCCTGAATCGAGTGGAAGGTAGGGTTCATCATGCTAGCGGAGGTTTTTGATAGGCACAGAACCGAGTGCTCTGAAAGTTGGAGGAAAGAAGTCAAATCCGGCAGAGGCAGGCTGCCTTGCAACTTGGGCACGGCGCTCGTCAGATCGTACGTTCGAAGGACCGAACCATAAAGCTGAAGCAGCTTTCCTGACTGGGTATGGAGCTGGTATGTGGCCGATTCGGCTCCAACTTCGTCTTGCGAAGGCAAGGGCGTGACGTGGAGCTGAACCAGCGGCTGCGAGGGCGCTGTAGGAATTATACCGAAGATTATGAGGAATCTTGAGGTGGTTCCTTCGCTGGTAGTGCGGGCGACAAAGGCTAGGACGTCGGGGTTGAAGGTCTTGGGGTCGATCTGGCGTCCAAAAGAGCCAAAGGCGTCCTGTCTGCCCTGGAACAGTCCATTCAGGACGTCTGATGCCGCAGCATGTAGAGAGAACTCCACCTCGTAGTTCGAGACGGTTGCAGGAAGCAGATCTTTGCAGAGGCTGTATGACGATGTGCTCCATTTTTGCTCCAATGCCTCGCCGTCTAGGCACAAGACCTGGCCGTCCTTGCAGAGAGCAACGACATGGCCCTTGTCAGATTGATTTTCGCTGAGAATGGTGGTATCGACGGCGGCGGAAGTAAACAGATGCGTGATTGGGGACTTATGGCGCACTCGCTGAGAAGTGCTAGCAGAGTTTGTCTTGCCAGTCGTGTCGATCACATCGCGGCAGAGGGTAACCTTTGCGCCGGTAGTGTCTCTTGTGGAGAGGTATGTGTAGTTGTTACGACCGCTTGAGCCTTCTCCCTGGAATCGGATCGAGTGCGGCGCGCAAGTGAAGGACTCTTGTGGCGGAATCGGGTACGATGTTCGCAGACCAGACGAGGGGACCTAAGCAACTGTTAGACGTTATGTTGAGGAGGCACCCCGATACAGCTACTTACGTGGTAAATGTTGGCTGCTTCTCCGTCCACGCCAACAACTACTTCCAGCCTCTTCCTCTTCTTGGATCCGGGCTTTTGTGTGTAAACTTCGCCAATGTGGTACTGGCCCTTGGTGTGGTCGAGGGGACGCGGCAGCGATGCCAAAACGTCTGGCCGGTGGATGCGGAAAGTGGGAGCCATCTTGTATTTTCTCAAAGCCTTAGCCTACAGAGACTCTGTGAATTGGGGTTTTGGCGGGGCTCAGGTCTGGGTGCGACTGCAATGGCTCTTCCCGATATCGAAAACCTGGCTGTGTAAGTGAAGGTCGCGATGCCGAAAGAAAAAAAAAAGTTGGAGGACTCTGCTGTAGTGGGGTGCAAAAGTCGACTTGACGATGGTTTCGCACTGTCCTTAGCTGTGCGGATACAACAAGAAAGGCCGTGTGATTGACTCCCAAAGTCATCGTTGTCGGATAATCTGCGGACCGCACCCTGACATCGATTAGATATGATAAGAGATAAGGGATTACCAGGAACCTGATGCTGGTGGGTCCGGGATCTTAAGTGTAATGGGCGTCGCGCTACACGCCCACTACTGCCCCCGGCGATTCGAAGACGCGACTCACGCGACTGGTGCACTCGATACTTAGACAACCCACCCACCTCGACTTCTCGCACCCATCGATTTGCGCTGCCATATTGAAACTTCAGAGGAAGTCTCTGTTATGTCCTTTTTCTTACAATAGACGGTGCCAAACTTCTGAGCTTTGGTACTTCATCCAATCTGTATCCGCATACATCTTTCGTCACTCACCAATTCCTCATCAGTTGCATGCCCGCTGACGTAGTCTAAAGGCGCGACGGCTCTGGCGTAAGTTTTCATGTCTCCTGTTCGTACAACAAATACACCTCATTGCTTTACCAATGCTGCCATAGCTACATGCTAAAACGTACTCCCATCATAGCATCGCACGATCTCATGGGAACTCTTCTTGTAGCCAACATGGCCCCAGATGGGCTGGACGCCTCCCACACCACAAAGCTTCACCCATTCTTTGTCCCTGGGAAGACCGCCGATGCACCGAGAACCGATTCGAGTACCGACGACCAGCCTCAGTCTGTCGACAGCCCACCTTTGAATAGTAAATCAGTTCGATCTCGAAAGCAGGCACCTGCATCTCAGCAACCATCCAGCGACATTGAGCCAGCGTCATCGGACATAGGCGAGGATGAACAAGGTCGCAAGAGGCAAAAGACCGGTGCTGGCAACCCTTCAAGTTCTGGGAAGAAAAGAGGGCGGCCCAGAAAGAAGCCAAACATTCTATCTGTCGATATTACGAGCCACTTCTCCCAGGTCAACAGCGTGCCGACGACCTCGCTTGCCAACGAAGTCCCACAAACGCCCGATCCCGCACCAATACAACCCGATATAGCTGCCCTCCCACTCAACCAGGCTCCTGTTTCCCTTTTGAACATGATTGATAACCCTTCGAATACGACTTCGAATGCGACGAATGCAGCTCATAGTGCTGGAGAGGAACCCAAAAAGCCTACCAAAGTGCTCAAATTCAACCCAAAGACCGGCACAATTGGCTCACCTCCGAAGCCTAAACCAAGCCCTGCAGAAGCGTCCAAAAGCGCAAAGGCATCCAAGTCACCGGCCAAACCCACCCGCATCGTAACCATCAAGTATGGAATTGACGTGGCGTCTCGCGAACGCATAGGCTCAAAAATTGAGCAGATCCTCACGACTCCAACGAAAACGAACCCCCGAGGCCATCGTGCGAAGGTTCCCAAGCAGGACCAGGACAAACCAAAAACGAAAGACACCCATCCTCTGTTTCTAGGCAATGCCAAGAAGGCTACGAAGCCGGTGGACGCGCCTTCCGCCGCTCCCAAACCGCCTAGAGCCACCATCTTCTCATCAACCCCATGCTCTCCCAGAAAGCAGCGGCTAACCCCAATAGCTGGCAAGATCCAGCTTCCACAATTCGGTGTCCGATCTCTGGGCCTCAAAGTTCCAGGCGCCTGCCATCCCGCATGGCCGGCCCAGGGGATGGCACACGTAAGGGGGCTTCTTCCCGAAGAAGAACGTCTCCCAGCTGCAAAAGACGCCCCGGTTTCGTCCCGGAAATCCAAGGGGCAAACTACAAACATCCACCCTGGTGAATCTGTCATTGACCAGCTTGCTAAATCGCTGAACACTCTGAGCATCAAGAAGTCAGTCCAGGAGGCTACAGAGGACTATGAGGCGCCGCCCGCGGAGCTCCGCCTTCCTGAGAAGCACTTTGAAAGCGGTCGCAAGCTTCGGCAAAGGATCAAGCGAGAGCTTAAATCTGTTCTGCCAGTCATCTCAAGTGTGGACAGTGATGATGAGTTGCTTACTTCTTCCAATCGGAAACCCCATCCTTCAGTGGCTCGCCTTTACAACATGTTGGAAACCAATCTCTCAGCATATGACAGGTCGCAATGCGAGGACCTTTCGTGGGCACACAAATACGCACCAATCAGCGGAGAAGAAGTCCTTCAATTCGAAGAGGGCGTATTGCTGAAAGAATGGTTGCAGACTTTAATTGTTCAATCAGTCAATACAGGTGCTTCCACTGCTGACCAGAAGGCCTCCGGTCCAAAAATGGGTTCGGCGGCAAAGAAGAAGCGGAAGCGCACCAAGATGGATGGATTCATCGTTTCGGATGGCGATGAAGCAGACTTCCTGCCTTCGGTCTCTGACGACGAGGATGAATGGCTGCCGACACCTGTTCATGGTGGCCCGAAGAAGACTGTAGTTCGCAGAGATGTTGCGAAAGATGCGAGCCGCCTGACCAATGCAATTGTCCTCAGCGGACCTCATGGCAGTGGCAAGACGGCTGCTGTCTACGCTGTAGCAAAGGAGCTCGGCTTCGAAATATTTGAGATCAACGCCAGCAGTCGCCGCAATGGCAAAGACGTCATGGAGAAGATTGGAGACATGACGCAGAATCACCTTGTTCAACATAACCGCCAAGGCGGCAAGGTTGATGCCGGGGACAACGCCGACGACGAGACAGCGAAGGACATCAAATCTGGCAAGCAAGGCACCATGACATCGTTCTTCAAGGCGAAGGTGGTTCCCAAACCAGAAGCGGTACCACAGCCCGTCGACCAGCCGTCCGAGGCACCCAAGTCAGCAAAGGCAAAGACCCAGAGCCAAAAGCAATCGTTAATCCTCCTTGAAGAGGTCGATCTTCTCTACGAAGAGGACAAGCAATTTTGGGCTACCATCATTAACTTGGTCGCGCAATCCAAGCGACCATTCGTCATGACTTGCAACGACGAGACTCTGGTTCCATTTCACAGCTTCATGCTTTATGGAATCCTCCGCTTCACACCACCGCCAGCGCTCTTGGCGGTCGATGTACTCCTACTTATTGCAGCCAATGAAGGCCATGCTCTTAGCCGACCAGCCGTGAGTGCCCTCTATGAATCAAAGGGTAACGATCTTCGAGCGTCTCTCATGGAGCTCAATTACTGGTGTCAGCTGGGAGTTGGTGATCGTCGAGGCGGTTTTGACTGGTTCTACCCGCGATGGCCAAAAGGCTGTGACAAAGATGAGAATGGCGACGTCGTGCGTGTAGTCAGCGAGGGAACGTACTTGGAGGGCATGGGATGGATCAGCCGTGACCGAGCAGTGGTTCCCAGCGTGCGTGCTGCTGAAGAAGAGTTGGTGAGCCAATGCTGGCAGGGCCTCGGAATGGATTTGAGCAACTGGCATGATTCACTTGACATGGCCTCGTGGGCAGATAGCGTGATGACTTCTTTACCCAGCGAGAGGGCTGTCGCGCTAGACGTGTTCTCCGAGTTCTCTGATCTCATGAGCGCGGCTGATGTCTGCTCTGATGGTGACTTTGGCCTCAAGTTCCAGGTGAGTAGTCTGAACAATGCTCAACATCGTGCGACCGTGGCTAACAGATACACAGGAACCTCTCGATCCCACACAGCCAGATCTCCCTATCAAAACCCGCGATGACTTCATTTTAGGCCGGCGCCTACTCGAGGCCCCATTCCAAACTGACTACACTCGCACGGCCACCACTATCGCCACCGGTCTCAAATGCGCCGCTCGACAGCTTCTCCAATCCGCACCCCTACGAAACGGCAGTGCAGTCGATATGGATTATTTCCAAGAGCACAGCGCAATCCGCCAAATGAAAAAGTTCTTTGTCGCTCCTTCCCGGGAAGAAGTAGTGATCAACCGCTATGATATGGCCATGGCTTTCGATCCCATCGCCATCTCCGAGAAGGCAGCGGCCATGATGGCCACCAGTCTCGAGCCGTCAGTTTTTGACCGTACTATGCGTATGATTACCCTTGAGGTGGCACCCTATGTGCGCAGTATCATAAACTACGATTATCGTCTCATGCAGAATCGCATGCAACGGAGTGGTCTACTCAGTGAAGGCGGCAGACCAGGGAAGAGGATGCGCAGTACTCGTGCCGCCTACTCGGCATTGGAGGGTGTCGCGCGTGGCAACATGCGCAAGGAGAACTACTTTGCCGCAGAAATAAGAACTCCTCTGGTCATGAGGACTGCAGGAGAAGGCTGGCAAGCTGCCGTGGATGAGGCCATGAGCTTGATGGAGCAACCGCCAAGTCCGGCTGCCGAAAGTGAACCTTCTATGGAACCTCCCGTGGAAGCAAATAACACCGTTGTATCGACCGCCGAGGAATAGATGAACATAATGAATAACTTGCATTTGGGGGGAAGCGATAGTATAAACGAAGAGAGGGCGGTTTGGCGCAGGTGAAGGGGTACAACGGGATGGCATTCAAACTGGCTGGAGATCTGGCTTAAATAGTACGGTCAAATAGCATGTCATGGCAGCCATTCATCTTATTTGGCTTTATTTCACCGGCTGCTTCAAACGTTCAAACTTTGCGACTGTGATGCCGTAGACTCACATCCGCATGAAGTCAAACGGCTAATAATAATCAGACCTCCGCCGAGACCTTCGATCCACGTACTCTGGTTCGCGGGGTGGTGAAGGAAATCGTTGGTCACCGCGCCGGCTCCAATCCTCCACAGCTTCATTGTATCGTGGTCTTGGTAGACGCTCCTCCACGAATCGACTCCCGGCAGCCTCTGACCTGTTCGACTGCTTCTCATATCTCACCATCTCATTCTCCCCCTCCGCCCCGACTCCACGCGATCGCCCTCGGCCATCCCCTTCGATTCTTCCTCGTCTTTCGAAGCGCTCGCTCGGAGACGGGAGATAGTCATCAGAGTAATACGAATCCCCCTCGCTCTCGCTTCCGTAACCGCGTGACCGTCCGCCGCCGCGGCTACGGGGAGGGTAATACTCCCTCTCGGGCAGCCTCCGCCGGTCGCGGGGGTAGTCGTTGCGGTCCCAGACGTTGTGGTCGTCGTAGTCGATGTACCCGTTGTGACGGTCCCGTATGGCGTTGCGCCTGCGGGACCGGCGACCGCTCGGCGAGGGCGAGTGCTCCCAGTGCTCCTTCTCCGAGTGGATTATGCCGCGCGGCCAGAGCTTGTGGACGGCTAGGGAGGCGACGGCGATGGCGGCGATGAAGACGGCTGCGGTTTTTATGCCGGGCTTCTTGTGGTGATCGCGGGGTCCCGCTGAGGAAGAGCGCGAGCGGGAGGATGGGGAGTAGGAGCGCCGCGTCCGGGCCATGGTGGTGTCTCCCGACCGGGTTGTCTTGGTGAGGGCGCGACTGCGGTGGCTGCTATTAGACTGAGACATGCGCGGTGATATGTGAACAGCGGTGAGTGAGTTCTTTTTGGGTGAGAGCTATCTGTATTGTTGTAAGATGTCTCGGGTCTGTTGACGCCGTCAATGAGACCAGACTATTCGAGTGAGACAGATGGTTTGGTGGTTTGGGAGAAAGTTCGGTGACAGGAAACGTGTAACAGGAGATTGCTTGGACCGGAGGTCGAGGTAATAGGGGAAATGAGACCACCAAGAGTAGAATGAAAGCGAGGATTAATGAATGTAAATGACGATGAGCCCGTATCCAAAGGCTAGTAGGCGGTACGAAAAGCAAATTGAACTTTGGGAGCCGGCTCGTTGGGCTTCTTCCCCCCGGTATCAGAGCCCGAACTCTGAGAGTTGGGATCGTCCGAGCGAGGGTCAACCCGGCACCTTGGTCTTGAGTGGGAATTTGGCGCGGCCTTTGGGTTTCTTGGTGGGTTGGTCACGCAGAGAGAGGAAGTACAGCGAGTTTTTCCCACTACATGCGTAGTGGAAGCCTACTGCAAGGACAGCGCCGACGGCGGCTGTGCGTAATTCTCTTACGGCAGACGTATGGCTTGGGTAGCTTGCGCAGCGTGTGAGAGGAGGAGCAGCAGATAGGTTAGAAACAAGTCCGGTCTACGGCTGGCTCGGGACGATGCCGTCAACACAGGGATCTTTCTTGTGGGATGGGGGGGGAGGGGGGGGGAAGAGAGATGGGCGAGTCAAGAACTTTGGGGGAGAGAAAGGCAGTAGGCGAACGGAGGGGCGGGTTAGGTATTGACTTGTTGAGAGGGTCGGATGGAAATAGACGTGGTTTGATGGGTGATGGGTGAGATTTATGGGAGGACGGAGGGTAAAGGGTTTGGGTGAGAGAGAGGTTTTATCGGATGGTCTGAGAATCGGTGAGGGCTTGCAGGATGACCGAGAGGCGCATTCAATAACACCACAGAAACGTGGATGAAAGTAAGCAGGTAGGTCGCCCAACATTGCGCGATAAATGTTATTTGTATGGCAAAAGGGCAGATAGTCAAACGTTCCCGATCTTGCGGGGGAAAGGACCCGATAACGATGTGAGGAGAAGATATGAAGACTTCTTGTTAGACCGGGAACCCGTGGTGTGGTTACGATGCCACTTGGACGTTGTATGCAGACAGACAGGGAAGGGCGAGACAAGCTTTCCTTGGCTCGGATTCGATCCCCGGAACTCTGATGCACAGAGGATCACGCAGGAAGTCTGGAAGAGAGTGCCATAAGGATTCCCTTTGCCCTTCGCCCTCACTCTTCTGGCGGTTCACTCGGCCAATCATTCGCTTGCCTGTCGAAAGGAGGCTCTGTTTCTGTGGCTTTCATTCGCCTCCGATCAAAGCGATTCATCGATTGAGTTATTGCCTCGGATGAAGAGCCGTACGTTGCTCCTGGTAGGTGGCAATCTGGGGATTCGATGGATGTCTGCATTACGACTTGACCCGGGAGAGGAACGTCCCAACAAATGGGCAACGGAGTCTTGAGATTTTGGAGATGAGTGATGACAAGGCCTGGAACCTCATTATCGTCTATTGGAGGGTGTGTTGGCCGTTTAGATTGTGTTAGATCCGAGTGAGACAGAGTAGGAGACGGGCGAATGGTGAAGTGGGTGAGGTTTTAGAGCCGGGCTGGTCTACGCGTGCTTGCGACGTGATGGTCAGCGATTGGCCAATGCGTCTTGAGGCCGACGGGTGTGACGACACGCGGGTATGGTCTAAAGCGACGGATGTTCTCACGGGTGAAGACTTGATGTTCGGTGATACGAGTTTGATGGTGATGGTTGTAGTGTCCCTCAAAGTAGATTGCGCCGATGGACACGTTTGGCTCTGAGGCCGTCAGTATCTCATAGGCTACGTCATGAGATCAGCAATCACAGAAACAAGTAGAGGATTTAGTTCCGGTATAGCTATGGTCTCTTAACAATTCGTTTGCATCTCGCATCTTTAGAGATTGGTGTTGACAGGTTGGCCGGCCCAGCAACAGGGGTTGAGCCCAACCAGTCATTCTCGTTACAAAGTCGAGACTGAAGTCATCTCTCTCTAAGCGGCCCTTGGATCCCGTCAGCAGCTTCGTGGTGTTGTACAAGGTAATTGTATTGATGGAGCGCAGAGAAACCAAACCTTTTCCGGTTTGGTTTCTTTTTGTTTTTTCTTATGTCTTGTCGCTGCCGTGGCCCTGATGAGCGACCTGGGGCATCTGAGAGCTGTTGACTTTTTGTGATGAGATGACTTAGAGCATCTACTTATACGATACTCTTGGTATCTCATTTCTTCTCATTGATGCTTAGATGTTGCGAGAGGCTGACCAAAGCCTAGCCATGCTACCTTAGTAATGATGATAGTCTGCCTTCGTAAGGTAACATGAAGTCATCTAAATAATGAGGTGTCGATAAGAATTGGTTGTGTTTCTGACTGGTATGTCATACATCTAGCCCCTCAACTAAATGCAGACGGCGGCTCGAACATGAAGCTGGTAGTGAATGTTTGGACAGGAACAATTTCATAACAGTCCAACTAAAGCACTTTCTTCATTTCTTCTAATATCCCGAACACCAGAAATTCGAAGCATGGTCCAAACGGACGACGAACTCCCTCACAGGTGCTACATACTACCCAGGGAACATCTACCCTCATAAAAGTACTCACTCACAAAAGTACCAATAAGAAAGTGAGCAAGAACATCCATCCTCCCAACCTTGTCCAAGATCTGCGCGGAGCCTCTCTCAACACGGCCACCATCCTTCTGAACGTATCATACTTCTCACCTTTCAGAGCAGCCTGTAGGCCAGCCAGGTCCCGCTTCATGTCATCCTCCGCCGCGGTGTAATTCCTCTGCATCTTCATCTGCTCCAGCAAGTCCGCAGCAGTCCATCGCCGCTCAGGGTCCGGAATGAGCATCTTATGGAGCAGATCCTCAACGAATCGGTGTGGGGAAGGCTCACAGCCACGGGTCCGGGTAGCCAGCGGGTTGATACCATATTCCGCGCCGTTGGTTAGGTCAGGCTGTACCAGCCTGTCTGAATCCCACCGTTCCCTCGCGGATTCGCGGCCGTCGTAGTAGATGCCAAAACGGTGACAGTGCCAGAGCACCATGCCCAGCATCCAAATGTCGGATTCGAACGTCGGCTTTATGTTGGCGCTGAAGTCGTACCACTTGCCCTGGAAGCGGAGCTCGGGGGCCGTGTAGCCGTCGTCGCGCAAGTCATGGCTGATGACCTCCGGGACAAGGCCGTGTCCGAAGAGCTTGAAGCGGACGCGCGACAAGTTTTCCGAGGGAAAGGGAAATACGTTGTGAAGGCGTACGTCACCGTGTACGGTATCTGTTGCGTGGAGGTAGGCGAGGGCAAGGAGGAGATCCCAGGCCACGTCGAGGACTATATCGTCATGTGTAGTACCTCTCGCGGGCCGCCATGATCTATGCATGGGAAGTCTCTCGACGATAAAGACCTGGTCTTTTGGGAGATAGTCAAGATACCTTACAATCGTTTGCTGTACCCACTGTATGTCAGCATCTCATTCATGAACTCGGGGGACTTTGGAACTTACGGGACAAGCCTCCTTGGAGGGCTTAATCAAGTCCGCTGCAAGGTTGGCAAGCTTCTCTTCCCGAGTAGCATCGAGTTGGGGAAACCCGACAAACGTCACGTCTCTAATGCCGTCAGCATCTTTTGCAGTGACATACCTACGGCCGTCTCGCAGAGATCGGAAGTTGGGTTCGTCGCCGACAGGACCCTCGTCCGAGTGTAGAATGCCCTTGAGGCTCAGGAGGTTCTGTGTTTTCTCTCTATGCGACATGGTGATGGGTTTGCGGCTGGGCTGGTTCTTCGAACTGATATTTGAATCGAGGAGACACATATCATCGTGGATGTTGAGTAGTATATATAGATAGGTCCATTTGGTCTCAGTCACTAGTTTTTTTTTTTTTTTTTTCGTTTCCTTGCGTCTCGTGTCTTCGCCTACCTAATTCCTGTTTTTTCCTGAAAGAGGATGAACCAGCCGTGTTCTGCATTTTCGCAGTGGAACATTCTCTCAAACTGGAGGATAGTATTGGCAAAGAAGAGGCGAGGTCAAAGCAGCTGTAGATTGTTGATCATGAGTAAAGAACAAAGTCGATGCCTAGAGGATACTCAAAGCATCGTTCTGGGGATACTTGAATTGACACCTCTCGAAACATCCTCTGTTCACTCACTCTCTTCCCTTTCATCTTCACTTTGACTCTAAGTTTGTTTCGGGGAAATGAACCGAATCTCCAGTCTCTTCTCTCCCGGTCGATTGGCGAATTGGGTGAGTTGATGCCATTTGGTATCAAACTTATGCTCGCGTTATTTCTGACAAGGAACCAAGGTATTAACTGATATCTTACAGGCATCTGAAAATGCTATCACGCTTCAAACATATGCAAGAGAACTTGAACAGAGTTTCTGTAGATACAGCATGGGCGACGGCAAAGTAAAGAAAAGAAATAGTACGGGCAAGATCTCGTTCAAGGATGACATGCAGCCATGTGGTCTCCCTCTCAACATTTCCAAGGATATCATAGTCTGCTCCGGTCCATGATGGTCCAATGCCAGGCATAGACGGCGAAGAGAGAGAGATGTTGCGAGCTAACTTGCCACTTCAAGGGACTCATCATGATCTTCGGAAAATACTCACAAGGAGTTATAGAAACTCATATCCTCCTGACTGCCTATGCAGTTGCGGATCGAATGCCCAAGCAAGTCAGCTCGACAGATCATCATGGTATAGCCATGGGCTGTGTCCTTGAAGGCTATCAACTTTGCGGGCTATGGATATCTGTAAGAAGAAGAAGAAGAAGAAGAAGAAGAAGAAGAAGAAACCTCAACACCGGTCGTGTTTCTTGGAGACCTATCCTTTTCTGTCTCTAACTGAAGATGCTGATTTTCTCAAGCCCACTTGACAGAATATGAATCAATGTGGCAGTCGAAGACCACTTCAAAGCCTACGAATAATCAATGTGGAATGATCATACAAAACTGCCGAGCATTGCTCCGTAGCATGAGTATCATCGATCTCAGGCAGCGATTGTGTAGATGTAGCTAGCAAGTCAGCAGCGTTGCTACGAAGCCGGACCATGGAATTGATAACTATGCATTATTGTATGAACGGTTTTGATTGATCATGAGGGGGTACTCATACTTTTCAGACAACTGATCTAAAGCACACGGGCGTTACCTTCTACGAATCATGAAATCGTGGATAGTTCAAAAAGTCAAGTCGAGAATCGGTCAGGCTTTGGAATTGAGGTGGCCTTGTCAACAGTAAACTATAACCCTCTTGTAGATGGTTGGTATGCTGAATAGCACGTCTGTATCGAAATTCACTTGCACCACTCAAGAGTAACTGTAAAGCCAGCGGGCGGGGTCGCCAAGTGGTCATCACTATCGTCACCAGAGAAAATTCCCATTTCATGTCCCAAGGGCCAGGGCCAGGTCCCATCACAGTGCCGTCGGTGGAGATTGACGTCGGGCTGCGGGTGGTCAACGATCCGATCGTTTACACGCAAGTGCGCGAGACGAAAATGAATCCCTGGTACCTACGCCGCCTTGCGTGGAAAGGCCCCAATGGTGCTGTCTGTCAGTCACTTGGCAGATGATAGATCGGTCTCAGTTAATCGAATCAGAATCCATATCGTAAAGTGAACGTCCACAGCACTCCGCGGCCCCGGGACGGCCGGCCGGAGGTAAGTTCGTCGTGTTACGCCAGCGTCGGCGGCGGGCGGGGGGGCTAATGTGGAGGCGCGAAGCCCAAAAGGAACCACCATGACCACCACCAGAGGTATCCATACTCAAAGGTGTGCCAATAGTCGGATCAGCGCGGGGCAGGCTCCGGGGACGCCAAATTACAGACGGTCTTTCTCAGCAAAAACTGATTGGAGCCTTGGCCTTGGAGGCTCGCTACTGCCAATGGAGACAGAGGCTTTGTGTGCCAGTGGGTAGTCGTCATCACTCAGCATGATCTGCCTGAGTCGCTGCGATGGGCCTGATTACCCCCCATCGTGATTTGTCCATGGACGAAAACAGGATCGAGACTAAACCGGGAATAGGGGGTGAATTCGTGAAAACGGAGATTCATCTTTCGGTGGGCGGTGTCCTTTTATGATGGCCAAATGTGTCACTGTAGCCTGTTCTGTACACCGGAATGAATGGAGTGAACACTGAACGGCAAGTAGGGAAGCAAGGAAGCAGGAGAGAGAAGATGCGTGCCTGCAAATTTCTTCGTCATTCAGCCACCATCTCCATTGATACTGGCTGCCCTTGCAAATGCAACAAAGTGAGGGCTGCTGGGGTAGTGTAGAGGGAGGCAAAGTGAGATGGATTTTGGAGACTTCCATGTCATGCCGGGTCCAGGAAGGTGGCCAAACAACCTTGACAATTCGACCTGGAGGGTCCGAGGACTTGCTTGCCTGCCTGCCTTCCCATGCTCCGCTGGCTTCAACTCATGTCCAGCTCCATAGCGAGCAGATGGTCGACTGACGAGTGCCTAGGTAACATTGGGTACAGAGGCATTCCCAGGATTCCAGCGGCTCGGGATCGTTGCTACTGCTGCGAGTCATCTGATTGAGTAGAGCCATTTTCCATTGACAATGCCGGCGACGAAGCAATTGGTAGTGGAATGTCCTGTTCCGCGGTGGAGATGTTGTCCGACTCCCACTTGCTCGTCAAACTAGGTTTGGCCATGCCATGACGAGGGGAGTAACAGAAGAACACAGCCGTCTCCACCACCTGCCGCCGAGGGCTGTTAGTTCCTCTGATACCGGTATGACCGGCTTATCAACGTGCCAAACAATCAATATGACCGGGCAGCTGAGACTTGTCGAACCCATCTCCACAGTGTCCCGAAGTGGGAAGAGAGAGGAGTAGAATCAAAAACATGTTTAGGTGAAGCCAAGCTTGGAAATCAGATGGAATCGTGAATGCAGGACTGACACCATGTCAATGTCGGATATGTGGCACCAGACTGGCCGGACTAGGCTTCGGTTGGCGAAATGCAATGGGAGCCGAAACTTGAGTTGGTGATCAGCCAAAGGGGGTGCCGTGGACAAATAGCTACTCCGTACGCACTTCGTAACACAAGGGTAGCGCCAGATGGGCCCAGCCGGTGCTCCGGTGCGGCAGACTCTCCGAAGACAACCTGGATTGCCGCGACCAAGGGTACAAGGGATAGGATCAGACGAGAAAGCCAGTATCCGTATAGCTACCTAGACCCCAGAAATCACTCCAAGCGCGATGTGACAGACAACACAAGTACGAGGTGCGCCGGTGACTCGTTTTGATGGAGCTTGCATCGGACGTAACAAGAGTACGGTTGGGAGTAAGAGATGGTTCGTGAATACCGATACCGCTATCGACCAGTCAGTTTTCACCTGGACACGACCGAGGCCGAGGTCGAGCAGCGCTGATGTGATTGTGACTGAGGGAGAGAAAAAAGCAAGTGAGCAGCCGACTGACTCTGTCATGCAGCTACTGAGGCCCAGGGGCGTATTAATTAAGATGGTTTGTACTCCGTACCCATATCCGTAGTCGAACGCGGCCCTGTCATCGCCGTTGGTTGGACGACTGCAGATGTGATGTCCGAGCTCCAGGTGAAAGGGGGGTGGTGGCTCTGTGAGTGATATTATCCGTAGTGAGGACTGAGGAGTCTGAGAATATGCCATTGAAATAGCGGCAGTCCAGTCCAGATGAGGCTAGCTAGACACGGCATGGAACAGGGTAGCTCAACCATTTCAACAACGAGCCACAAAGCGGCCAGGTGGTAGCTGTAGGTATCTACGGAGTTAACCAAAGGTAGGAGGGGACAGGATCAATCCATGGAAGAGTCTGAAGTCAAGCCAAGGGGGCAATCAAAGACGAAGAGGCTTGTTGGAGCCAGGCTGCCAGGATCGAGATAATCAGTGCTGGCGATTCTTGGACTTGAGGCGCCGGACGCGAGGAAAGAGCATGCGATTTGTGTAAGACTCTGTGTCCGACATTCGGTATGTTGTGGCTGATATCGAATCGTGTTGGTGACGGCTGTGGTGGCATGAGCATCGTCTAGCTGCTTCCGCGGATGTACGATGGCCAGGAATATGGGTATATCATGTCCGTCAAAATCGTGTGATCTGGACAGGCCGATATGGCATACGAAACGGAAACGGGCTTGGGCTTTGGAGAATGCAGTTGTGCATGGGGTAGAGAGAAGACGGCTTTGAGAAGGCTTTGATGAGTGGTGGTGGTGGTGGAAGAGACAGACGGCGGTTTGAACTCTGTGCATTACCTAAGCATTCGGGGCGATCGTGCTGAAAGCTACGTAAGCGAGACTTGCGTCAGGTACCTTAGGTTGTGGGGACGTACCTTACCTTGTGAATGCAGTAAGGTAAGATCGGTACGGAATATGGCTCATCCCATTTGATGTCTATCCGGCAGGCCCTCTCATGCCTCTTTCCTTGCGCTGCCTAGTTTTTTTTTTCTTTTTTTCGCACCTGCCAGATGCCTGCCTGCCTGCCTCAAGTCCCTGTCCCGAATGACATTGGTTGGTAAGGTATTTGCAAGGTACGAAATAATGTACGAAGTACTTGGAGATGGGAGAAGGAAGGTCCAAATGTGACCAACATCGCCTGCACTACCTAAACTGGGCTTAATTTTCACGTCGAGGATGCTGCAGAAGGTGCAAGGAACAGAGCACTTAAGGATGGGAAAGGACGACACTGTGCCAGTGGGTCTTGAGTTCCTCTTGCCTCAGGTCGTCTAGACAGATGCTGTGGGCGGAGCCGAGGTGACGACTTCTATCGTCTTCCC